GTAAATCTGCACAGCAGCTCAATAAACGTTTCCTGAACCCGCTCCCTAATCTGTCCGAATCGCCCAGAGTCCCTTTTCCTTTGTTTAGCCTAAAATGGCACATAAACCCCAGTTCTAACCACCCACTGGGGGGCCTCATCACCGAGCAGTCCCTGCCTGTGCACAACGCACATGGCAGAACATTTGTTTTTCTCCTAGCGTTAGTCTTGGCAAACCTAAGTGACAGAGCTCCGGCTAGAGAACCCAAGACGGACAGAGAGAAAAGATTATTTACGCCCTGCAATCGTCTCCCTTCCTCTACTGCATTGCCCTGGTGCTGGGCTCATCCGTTCCCAGCGTTTCCTTCCTTGCTCTAAGGGACCATGTAAGTGGGCGCCATATGGATTAAGTGTTTTAAATTTTAAGCCTCATTTGGGGGGAAGACGTCACCTGGTGGTGACACCATACGGTCCCTTTGGACTAAGGGACTATAAAGTGCAGAGTGAAGAAATCTGCTTGCAAAGCCTCAGTGAAAAGACTCTAACCACAGTAGCCAAAGATTACAAAGGAGCCACACCAGTCGAGAGGGCGAGGTGTGGGATAACCACACCCAGGAGGGCCAGAGGCCAGTACCAGGTGGGAAACCAGCAAGATGACGGGAATGGGTGACCCACTCAGGAGGGGAGCAAGCTCTGTGGTGAGGTGCAGTGACCACTTGCTTTGGAGTAGGCAGACCAGATGCAGTGGGCCATTTTTTTCTAAAGAAGTCTGTAATAATACTCATGGCAATATTCATCCCACCAAGATGTGAAGCCTGTTTGTGGCCTTCTGGTTGCCACAACCAATGCGCTAGAACAAAAGTGGTGCTATGGGATTCCAAGGCTGGCAGAATAAAACAGCTTCAACCCAGCCAACTCTCTCCTCCCATCTCTACCTCAGGACCTCACCTTTAGAATCTGGTCACCCTGTCATATGGGATCGCAAGCCACTTGGAAAAAAACACGTTCAGGGAAGTGCTGCAGCTGATAGTCATCTCCTGCCACGACAGCCTTCAGATGACCCCAGGCTTCATCTCCAGGGGTCTCCCCAAGGTCCCTTCTGGGCTCCTGACCCACGAAAACATGATTGATTTAAGACCCTGTTTCAGTGACTGTTTATTCAACAGTACACTCAACATGAATGGTGGCCCCCCTCATTGGCGGTATGACTCCCCACAAAACGTTCTCCTTACTGACAGGGTCATCTGAGCATTAAAACTACATTGCAAGATACCCAGCACTCCCAGTTGCTCTCTTAAGTCATCTTGTTTATCTCCCCACTGTGAGGATGCATAGCCCGTGAAAGCCCATCTTGCACACATCTCTACCGTCCCCACTCTCCATGTCTGCCACAGCAACTCCCCAATGAGAACTTGACTGCAAAGATTAAAGTGAGCTTATGAAATGCCCCTTAGGTGACTAGATCAAGAAGTAGTATATATACTCAATGGAGTACTACTCAGTGATCAAAAAGATAAACTCATGACTTGCAGCAACATGGATGGAGCTGGAAAGGATTATGCACAATCAAATAAGTCAGAAGAAAAAGAAAACTATCAGCCACTCCCACCACCCCGGTGGCACAGTGGATTAAAGCACAGCACTGCAAGCTGGCCACAGCAGCCCCAGAGGTGACCTCTCCTGACCCGCCCACTGCTCCCCGTAGCTTGGTTGATCTGCCTGTTCTGCTCCCCACTCTGTCTGGTGAATCTTGTGCTTGGTTGATCTGCCTGTTCTGCTCCCCACTCTCTGTCTGGTGAATCCTCTCACCGCCCCTGCACCCCTGGCCTGTACCCCAGCTCTGTATGCATAAATAAATAAATCTTAAAAAAAAAAAAAGAAAAAAAAAGGCGAGGGACAAGCACCAGGGACAATGGTGATGGTTCACCAGTGAACTGGTGGTGGGAACTACACCTGAGCAGAGAAAATATTATACAAAAACAAACAATGATGTAAAATAAATAATTGCGTGCAAAATTTTTTTTAATGCTCTTTAGTAAGTGACTAAAATAGGAGGCCACAGGCCACCAGGAACACACGGGGGCCACGGGCAGCTGGTCTAGCCTAGACACCGTGCTTCAAAGTCAGAGAAGGAAAGCTGAGTGTGAACAGCAGCGGCCAGAGGCAGGTGAGAGGAGGAATCAGGCCCTGAGTCCCAGCGCCATGGGCACAGACTTCACCCTGTGCTCATACTAGGAAGGAAAGTCCTGCTCACCCTGGCCACAGCATCTTCTGACCCTGCATTCATGATTTACACCCTACCCAAGTGTCAGGAAGTTTGAGGTCATTCTGGTGTTTTGTTCCTTTGGTTTTGCTTTTTTATTTTATTTTATTTATGCATACAGAACTGGGGCCAGAGGTGCAGGGGTGGGGCGGTGAGAGGATTTACCAGAGACAGAGTGGGGAGTAGAACAGACTGATAGACAAATACATTGCTGAGGGGAGCAGCGGGCAGGACAGGAGAGGTCTGCCACGCCATGTGGTCACCTCCCTGGCCAGGAATCGAACTCAAGCTAGCTTCCTAGTGCTGTGCTTCAACCCGTTGCACCACCAGGGAAGGTCCCTCTGTTGTTTATGTCCTACCCAATTCAAACAAGACAATCAAGTGAAAGGGCCTACCCAACCCGTGGGGCTCTTTTGCAAAAACATGAGATTGCTTTAAAAATTAGGACCGGGCCCTCCCTGGTGGCGCAGCGGATTAAAGCACAGCACTAAGCTAAAGCTACCTCCACGTGAGTTCGATCCCCATGAGTTTGATCCCCGCCTGACCCGGAGATCCACATGGTGTGGCAGACCTCTCCTGACCCACCCCCTTAGCAGTGTACTTCATCTATCTGCCTGTTCTGCTCCCCATGGTCTCTGGTGAATCCTCTCACAGCTCCTGCACCTCTGGCCTGTACCCTAGTTCTGTATGCACAAATAAATAAATCTCTTAAAAAAAAAAATCAGGCCAGGGCCCCACCTGGTGGCACAATGGCACAATGGGTTAAAGTGCAGCACTATGAAGCTAGTCACGGCCACCTCAGCACAAGTTTGATCCCCAACCAGGGAACTGACCCACATGGTGCAGAAGACCTCTCTCCTGTCTCACCTGCTGCTCCCCTCAGAACCTCATATCTAGTGTGTTTCAGTTGATTTCATTGTACTTCATCCACCTGTTCTTTTCCCCACTCTGTCTCTGGTGAATCCTCACCACCTGCACCTCCGACCTGTACTCGTTTTGTGCATAAACAAATCTTAAAAAAAAAAAAAGACCAAAGGGAAAGAAAAGCTGAATGTAAAAAAAAAAAAAACACTGCTCCAAGAGGACATTTATTTTGTCTGTTAGCCAGTCAATACCTGCATCTGGCCAACAAACTCCAAGCTAACCAGTGTTCTTAGAAAAGGCTTTTAAGGCTGGCAGCCCTCAGGGGCCATCTTCTCCACTATCTCCTAAATGCCAGCATTTTTTTTGTTGTTTTCTCTGTTCCTAGAAAGCAGAATTCTCGTATCTGGTCAGTGACTTCTCCAGGCCATCAGTGTCAGGAACTCAGCACACAGGAGTGCCAGTGGCCAGCATGCACCCAACATGCCCTGGGGCAGAGCCAAGCTAAGCCTTATCTTCACTCCACTGTGTGATGGTGATGGTGACAAAGGCAATACTATTCGCTCCCAAAAAGTACAGGGAAGAGAGACTGAGGAGCTTTTTTCCATGTGGTGGAATCTGACTCGAAAGTCCACATTTTTAACCACTAATGTCACCACTCACTGATCTCAGCCTTGTGTCCTGTGTGGTCTGCTAAGCCCTCACTGGAACTCCTCTTCCCACCCTCATGGTCACTGTATTTTCTTTAACATGAGACTTCCATGCCTCCCTTCTTAGGTGAGCCCGCTGTGTTGCTGTGTTGACAGTGTGGGATCAAGTTGAGTCACTGTTCACTGGTTTATTGAGACTTGAGACGATCCTTCCCCAATAGACTACACTGTGACAGGGATACCCCGGCCCACAGGTCCATCCATTCATCTCAAGAGTGACGTGTGCCTTCCTTCGGCCAGGATGCTCAGCCACGGTCAGCTAGACCCAAACCTGTCCCCATTTCTTCCTGAATCCCCTCAGAAAAACAAAAAAGCAAAGGGGACAATCTTGGCACAGGATGACTATGAATGGACTGAGGGTGGTACATGAGTGCAAAGGAGAGAGGGAAAGTTCTAGCAGAACCAAGTGTGCCAAGAAAGGGGGCAACTGGCCCCACCAATATGAGCAAAGGGAAAGTGCTTGACAATGTGCAGAGTAGACACCTCCAGCTCTGCTGGAAAAGCCCGGTGAGTCCTTCCGTGAGAAGGACCCGGGAGAGCGTGCAGGGGAAATGCATGGCGCAGGGAAATGCGTGGGCAAAACGTGGACGCGGCAATCGGGAAGACGAGACTCAGCACGCCGGACAAAGGGCACACGCCGACTAAGCATGCGTGACCAGGCGAGAGGGCACATGAGGGCCCCTCCTGTGGAGGGAACACATGTGGCCAGAGGGAGGGTGCAGAAGGCACACGTGGGAAGTGAGCATGAACACGAGCAGGTGCAGTGAGAACAAACGGGAGGGAGGCCACTGGGGGGGGCAGGGGGGAGGGGCAGCATGAACACACAGAGCAGAGGCGAGGCGCATGTGAATCTTGGCGAGAAGAATGAGTGCCCAAAGAAGGAAAACAAAACTTGTGGATGTTGAGAGGCAGTGGGGTGGGAGGAGAGGATGACGGGCGAGAGAGGTGGAGAAGCACCTGTTGGGACAGACAGGGCACTCTGGGGAGACCCCTGCTGGAGGAGAGCAGAGCACAATGGCAAAGGAAGCTGGGGGTTGCCGTGGCAACAGACAGGCGGGCTTCACCAGAGGACCTACGCAGGGAGTCACTGAGTAAGAAGCTTCAGGGGGATGAACAAACTAAAGAGGAAGTACTGCTAGGGAATGATATGGAGGAGGAAGAGAGAACAGTCTGCTTCCCAGCGTACTGGGGGCTCGGATAACCCCAGGACTCACAGAAAGGCCTGTATTTACAGGAGGGAGGGTGGGGAGGCATTTCCTGCCCCCTACGGCCTCCCACCCCCTCCCCCTCTCCCCTGCCTGGCCTGTCCTCCCCACAATTCCCTCACTTGTAGAGCAAATGGACTCGACTCCCATCACAGCTAAGCCGGTCAGGGGGCTCGGGAGGCCCCCTAGGCAGACTCCCAGAGGGGTCTGGGGGTGTCGGAGGGTGACGCCGGGAACGGAGCTGCTGGCGCGACTGGAGCTGATGGCGCAGTTCTGAGACACGCTCTTCTTTCTGGAGGAAGGAAAACAGGGTGAGAAGGGGGAGTCACGACGGGTGCGGGGTGGAGAGATGGGAGGAAAGCAGAGGAACCTGGCTGAGATATAAAAGAATAAGGACAGAGAAATTAAAATGAGGGATGGGGGACACGAATAAGGAAAGCCAAAGGAACACAGTGGGGGCACCAGCTGATAAAGGGGATGAGGGAACTAAGAGGAGTGGGGAAGGGGTGTGGAAGCTGGAGAAGGGGAAGTGTCAGTGGACGCAGCTTCCAATACTCAGGCAGAGATCTTGCCACCCCAGTCTGAACTTGTCCGGGACACAGAGAATATACCCCAGGCTCTGCCCACATTCCTTTCACAGGAAGGGTCACTCAACATTCACCTCCTACCTGTCCCCACAGCCACGGCCACACAGCCCACAGCCACCACCTTACTGCCTCCAGAGCCCCGTCCAGCCTGGTGAGGCTCAGGCCTTTCCCTGCCTGCCCTCATTGCCCGCTCCCTGGCAGTTTCCTCCTGAGACCCTCCCTCCACAGGTCACACACCTGAACCCTTCTCAGGCCCTGCCTCAGAAAAGCCACTGAGCTGTGGGCCTCCAGGGCCCGCCACCCCTCCCCATCCATCACCACTCACCTCAGCAATGATCTTCTCCAGTTCTCGGTTCTCCTTCTCCAACAGCCGGGACTTCTCCTCCTCGTTGTTGTTGGTTGATGACCCCGTCTTCATGGTGTCCTGTGCTTCAGACTGCCATTCCCCTCGGGTGATCAGCCTGCGCATCTGGGGGCGAACAGGGGCATGACATGCTGAGCAGAACTGTCAGGATTAGCTGAGGGGGCGGGGGTGAACAAAAAAAGAGGGACCAGCTGGGACCCAAGCAAGGGCAGAGGAGCGGAGTCCTGGGAGAGGCAGGGTCCTGGGAGGGCAGGCAGTAAGCTGGAGAGAGGAGAACAGCCAGCCTCACCTTGGGCACGAAGAGCACAACCAAGGTGATGTAGGAGGAGAAAACTATGGCGAGAGAGGCAAAGGCGAAGGCCGCGTCCTGCTGGCTGGACAGGATCATGGTGACGGGGGCAGTGATGAGGCACAGGACCTGGGGGCACAGCACGTTTGGGGGGCCTCAGTTTCATCGGCAGGCTCCGGCACCACCCAGGGTTTTCTTTATGAGAGTCTGTGAGGACTGGTCCCTGGTGAACTTCCCCCTTGAAAGGACTTAAACGCGGGATCATCCTCAACTCCAGGCAGAAGAATCCCCAACAAATTGTCCCAAAGGAGTTCCTGCTCTAGGTCTAGTGAGGCGTCCAGTGAGGGGTCCCCTCCCTCAAGGCAGGAAAAGCCTTGATCTCTGCACACATCCAGGCTCCCAACAGTCCTGGGACAGCAGGCAGGAAGTTTCACTTGTGAATCACAAACCCCAACTGGACCTCTTTTTCTGCCTCCGCCCCAACACAAAAGGGTTACTCATGGTCCCTTCACTGGGTGGTTGTGTGAAGATTAATAAGCTCGTGTCGATACTGTGCTGGATCAGCTGTAAAGTGCTTTACAGGTCTGAGGCATTAAAAAACGTTTTAAGGGGAAGCGGATCAAAAACTATGGGGGGAAGGGAAATGCACTGGACGGTGGTGATGGCACACGGGTGATTTGGTGTTGGGACGCCCAAGGGGATTACAATGGAGATGAAAAAAGGCACAAAATGATGTAAAAATAAACTATCCTATTATTAAAAAAAAAAAAAAAACGCTTTAAGGCACTGGACTATGGTGATGGCACCTGGGTGATTTGGTGATGGGAAGCCCACGGAGATCACAACGGAGATGGAGAAAGGCACAAAATGATGTAAAAATAAATTATTCTATTATTTTAAAAAAAAAAAAGTTTTAAGATCCAGACACAGAGCCTGGCTCTTCCCAGGCCACCGCCTCGGGGCTGCAGTCGGCCCAGGGCCGACCCAAGTGTCCAGGGAGCTCACCGCCACGTTGTAGATGGCCATGCCCACAGCCCGGTGGTCATTAATCTTCTCAGTGGACACACTCTTGGTCTCATAAGCAAGAAAGATGCCCAGCAGCAGCAGCAGCCCCTTGTAACCGTAGAAAATGCCTAGAATGGCAGGAAAATGTCCCCTGGGCAACAGGACTCCCTGCACCACCCACCCCCCTCTTGTCTGTGCCCTTGCCTGCTGCTGCACCTCCTTATAGCTCCACATTGAAAAGGAGACCCCTCTCTAACTAGCCCCTCTCTCGCGCAACTGTTCCTGTTCTCCCCCCTCCCCTTCATGTCATCCCTACTCGCCCAGACCTCGCTGCTTCCTCCTGAGCTAGAGCAAAGCATACAGGATGACTCGGGTCACAAGCAGCTATCCCTACGGCAAAGGCCTGGTGCCGCACAGCACCTCTCCCCTTACCTTTCAGTTAGCCGCTTGTGGTCACAGACCAGAGGGAAGCCGGCCTAAGGCCATGGCCTCCCAGCCCCCACCTGACTGTAGGGAGCTGACCACAGACAGTGCCGGCTGTAGCGGTGTCACCGCCCCTCTGCTTCACACAAGTGCTGCCTCACCCCTGCCTTGGGCTCTGAGCTCCTCACAGAGAAACACCAACCGCCCTCCATTCTCAGAAAAGATGAGAGCAGTTCTAGGGGAGGACTTGAAACTGATAGACTCGAGCTCTCTAGACTCTCTTTCCAAAGACCCTTGCCCCCCACATCTGCTGCGGCCCTGCCCCCGCCCCCTCACATCTCACACACCAAGCCACGTATTCATCTTCTTGGAGCTGCAGTGCTCCAGCTGCGGCAGAATAGACACGTCGATATCCTCCTTTGGTTCCTCCTTGGCAAACGTCTAAGGGAGAATTAGGGCCACAGGAAAGATGGTTACCACCCGCCGCTACCCTCCCCCCTCTGCTCAGTCCCCAGCTCCCAGCTCCGTCCCTGCTTCCTCTGAGACTCAATAATGAGGCCAAGTCCCACTTTAGCTGGAAGCATTTTCCTGAACACCTGGGAAGTATCAGCTCCTCTTTCCATGATGCCTGATCTTTCCCAGATCCCAACCACTTCCTTCTCCAGACGAGTCCAGAAGCCTCTAATGGGCATCATTCTAGGGACGCTCAGGGAAGCCGCTGATAGCCAGAGGCGAGAAGGCCCTGGAGGCCCTGACCCCAGGGAGCCCTGCTGGGCGTCCAGGTGCCCCTGCCTCCTCGCCAGCGGTACCTCAATGGTCCGGTGCAGGGGGTCCACAATCTGCCAGATGGCGAGAGTAAGGATGTCCATGCCCACCAGCAGGCCCACGGTGGCATACAGCTTCCAGGGCTCCAGGGTCTGGCAAACAGGGAACACAGGCATGCGGGCGCTCTCCTAAGCCCCAGAGCCAAGAGCCAGGGGCTGAGGGGTCTGCGCAGCTCACCTTCCTCCAGTCCTTCTTTTCCTCCTTCTTGGTGAAGACTGTGTGGACCCACCAGATCTTGGTAAACATGGAGCCGTAACCCAGACTAAAGCCCAAACCCAGGAGCCAGAGCCGGGCCTAGGAGAGGAGAGAGGACAGGGCGTGTAGGTGGGGCAGCAGGCAGTGAGCGGGCTGTGGGGGGGGGGAGGGGGGTTGGCGAGGCATGGGGTGCTCTAGGAGTGAACAGATGACTGGGCAGAAGGGCTGCACCAGAAGAGGAGGAGGACAGGACAGGCCAGCAGGCAGGCTCCCCCTTTCCAGATTTCCCCATTCATTATCCGCTTTGCCACTAGGCTGATCTTACTAAAAACTCCTGGGTTTGAATGACGATACACCTATGACCACCCACCAATGTCAACAGGTTGCAGCCTGAACATCTGCAGACTGGTGCAAGATCCTCCACAAGAGGGGCCCACTCACCCTCCGGCTCACCCACCCCACACCCCAGCCAGGTTGATGCTCGCTTTCCCTGGTCTAATCTCGTCCGTGTCTCTGCTGACCACACAATGTAACCTCTGTCCCTGGAGTAACCATGCAATACTCCAATCTTTCTTTTTTTGAAGTATGCCAACACTCTGACCGGGAGCTGCTTCCTCGCAGCTCCCACATCACTTTGCGCTGATACTGCTCATATTGCACCGCATTTAATTATGTGCTTCTCCCACTGCATTCTGGTCTCACTGGGGACAGAGAGTCTCTGATGAAGTGTCTGTGCATGTGTATGTACAAATGTTATTTGCATAGATGCGTGATCAGGACAGGCCCAGGGGCCCAGGAAAGAGGAGTGAAGATGGACGAGGAGAAAGAGTGAATGTTCCTACCAGCTGAACATAACAGAGAACCACACAATGTCACTATTTGATCCATCTTTCCCCACAGCTCCAGAACCTTCCCTAAGAGTTCTGCAGGCCCTCCCCGCTGTGCTACCACAGTCCCTCCCCCCCAACTCTCCTAGCTGTTAGTTCAGATCTCTGCCTCCATTCTTCTAAGCCCTGACTCAGGCTCCTACGGAAGTCCACAGTTCTGTTCTCAGCCCTCACCCACGCACAAGCCATTGTTCAGGGCTCTCTGTGCAGACCCCCTTCCTTGGCCTTCTACACCTCCCTCTTCTCCTCTGCAGCGGCGTGCCATGGCAACCATGGAATGAAAACATGTCCAGAGGCACAGGAGAAAGGGATGGGGCCAGACACAGGCCAGAGGGGTGACACTCGGAGAGGAACAGGGACGAGGCAGGGGGAGATCAGAAGGGAAAGCAAGGAACCAGCCATCACAGAGGGAGCTCCTGAGCGGGCAGGAGGGGACCCGCCCAGCTCCGCCTCACCTGACAGACGAAGGGGAACTGGTTTCTCCCGATGTGATGCCCATCCAGTCCGAGGGGGAAGACAGCAGCCAACGCCAGCGAGCAGCCCACAGCGGTCAGGTTGTTCAGGTTGGGCTGCGAGTTCTGGATATACCTACGGCAGGGCAGGCGGGGGCAGAGGCAGAAGAGCACAATTACCCTCTCCACCAGGGAGGCTCAGCTCTCCAAAGGCCACACAACAGCCTGACCCTGTAAGGGGGAAAGGATGTCCTGAAGGACTCTACAGACGCAGGCTTTGGGGACTCCACCCCCTCCCAGACACCAGAACGACAAATCCCAGCAACCCAAAGAGAAGCTGCTGGGACCCGAGGGTGCAGTTAAGCAGCCAGGTCTGGATATAAAATCCGGACATGTGGGCTCTGGGGGCCTCTTGGCCTTGTGGCTCATGGCTTGTCTCTTGTCTCTTTACCGGCTTTCAGGGTACTATTGGGGTTCTAGGTCAGCAGACGTGGTAGGATGTGTCAATCAACTTTCTCTGTCTCTTTCCCTGAGTTATTCATTTCCCTTTTCCCTTGTAAATAAACCATTTTTAACCTTTTTGTGTAGGCCTGCAGTTGGATCTTAAGCAAGTGGGTGAGGACCCACAGTCAGGCAATTCACACTGGGTTGAGCTCAAGGTAAGGGAAGATAGGCCTGAAGCAGGCAGCAGTGAAAGTGGTGGTGGGAAGGGGAGGGCGGGGGGACAAAACCGGCTGGGCCTGGTGTCTGGAGGTGGGGCTCAGCGCAGGAGTTGCTGTTCTCCCCAGTTTCGCAGGTTATTCAGCTTTTCAGTTAGCTCTGGAGCAGGATGGGAATTATATCTGCTTCTCCCCCAACACTCGCAGTGGTCACTGGTTAAGCAGGAAGCCTCAGTGAAAACCTCTGGCCTCGGGAGTCACACAGTTTTGTTCTAACAGCTTTAAAGGGGTACGGCCATTATCTTGGAGAGCAGACAGACAAGGAAATGTCAGCAGAGAAACTTACCGGACATGGGAGTTGTAGATGTTAAAGGACAGACAGACAACAGCTAGAACAATGCCCAGGCTGGAGAGAACCGAGACGGAGATAAAGAGTTTCTGTGACAGGAAGCGGAACGTCTTGATGACCATGGTCTGGTCAGCTGGGGGAGACCCTCCTGCATGGCACAGGGGCGGGTGGGGAGAGGAGAGGAGAGGAGGATGACAAAGGGGTGAAGACAGGGCAGGCAGAAGGAGAGGACAGACAGACGCTCATACGTCTCTGGCTCTGAGGATGAGACCCTAACTACCCCACAGGGCGTGTGTAGGCCGGAGGGCTCTTTGGTGCTGTGGCATCACCAGATGTGGGGGGAGGAAATGGAGCTAGAGGACGTAAAGGCTGAGGTCTATCACCAAAGTTTCAAGTTTCCTGCTGTAGTTTGTTCTTTCTGTTTCTCTATCCTCTTTTATAGCAAAGGAAAATGGTAGGGAAAGAAGGGGATAATGAGAAATCAGTATCATGCGTTCTCATAACTCAAATCCAAAGTGCAAAAGACAACTGTAGAATCATAAAGCCAAATAGCCTCAAAGTGTCTAGACTGGCCTCCTAACTCTGGGAAAAAACGAATCTGCGATTGTAACCTTGAGGGTGATAGTCCCAAAGGTATTTTCCAGTTATTATTAAGGGTAAGCTCAAATTTCTCAGAGTTAACCAAAAAAAAAAAAAAAAACTACTAATTTCAATCACTCCATTAAAAAAAAAAAGTGGAAATTAGGCCATGCCGCATTTATAGCAGTACAGAGCACCGTCCTAAATTCAAATTATATAAAAAAAAAAATTCAAAACTCCAGCGGTGTCAGGAACAACTAGGCTTCAGTGCACAGTGCAGAAGGCGGCTCCTTTCACGGCTGGGTCCCTCCACCCTTAGGTGCCCAGCCTTTATCAGTTGGTCTTTGTTTTGCCCACCTTTTATCTGTTTCCATTTCCTATTATTTAGCCCACCTAGCACACAAAGAACAATCACTTACTTTTCTCTCTCAAAAGCGCGTGTTTGCAGAGGACAGTTCAATAAGGTCTTACGTTCCCGCCTCTGGCTGTGCAACTTTCTCCTGACTGACATGAAAAGGCACATCTAGGCTCAAAGCAGCCCACTCCTCTACACCATGGCATCAGGACACTGTGAAACCCACCCTGTCTCTAATCCCCAATTGCCCCAGCAACGTACTATTTTTTCAAGATTTACTTATGCACACAGAACTGGGGTACAGGCCAGAGGCACAGGCAAGGTGAGAAGATTCACTAGAGACAGAGTGGGGAGCAGAACAGGCAGATTAATAAAGGACACTGCTGAGGGGAGCAGCTGGCGAGACAGGAGAGATCTGCTGCACCACGCGGGTCACCTTCAGGGCCAGGGATTGAACTTGCACTGAAGCGACTGTGTCTCACTTACAGTGTTGCGCTTTAACCCGCTGCGCCACCAGGAAGGGTCCGCACCGTACTATTTTTAATGGTGGTTGCTACCAACCACCTAGTCCCTCTCCAAACATGAGCCTCCCCTGCCTCCATCTTGGAGATTTTGTTTCCTTTCTCTTAACCATTCCTTGGTGCATTTCAACCTACTGGCCCCAACTCACCCGCCCTCGTTAAACACATCACCCTTTGACTACGCAGAGATTTGAAGGGAAAATACCACTGAGATCCACCTACCGATCCACTTGTCTGTCTTGGACCAGGAAAGATCATCCTTGGTGCTGTCGTAGTAGCCAATCTTCTTGTAGCTGCCTCCTAAGCATGGACAACAGGAGTGACTGCAGGTAGGTAAAGAGCCCGTCAAACTTCCTGCTCCTGCTTTTCCCTTCAACTGAGCCCCTGAAGAATACTTGGAAGGACCCGAGGGGTCACTTGTATCCACACTCTGACTTTAAAGCAATAGAAGGGGGACCCAAGGCAATGAAAATATGTAAGGCTATTTTCTAGGCTTAAAGCCTCTCAGTGCAGAGGCTCCATCGTACGTCCGACACCCATCAAGTCTCACACTGCTCTTGGCAAGTGACTCTCACTTCGAATCTGGCTTCTGCAAAAGCTTTAAACACATTTCTGCTTATTCTCCCTCTCGTGATAGACAGAATCACAGGCTCTCTTTTCCCAGCGGCTTTCATTTTAATTTTAGAAATGTCTCTTCTGTTGGCTTGGGTTCTAATTCCTTAGACAAGTTGCAGCTGCCTCTTCAACAGCCACAAAGTAAAACTCAATCACCCCTAAGGTTTCTGTTCCAAAACTGTCCCAGTTACCATTACTTTTCCTTAAAAAGCCAGCTCATGCCCCTCTCACCATGGCTGAAGTCCATTTCCTCTTGTCCTGAACACAAAGAAGATTTGAGCGGATGTGGGAGGTGGGGAGAAAGAAAGAAAGAAGCTTTTCACAAGAGGACGAAAATGGCTCTTGGCCATGCTATAAGAGACTGAGAGTGGGGTGGAATTGAAAAATTAACTCATAGAAGCTTCACAAATCTTTAAGTGTGCTAAGTTATAAGACAATACAATCTAGAAAAGCCAAACTATACATGGCACCAAAAAATGACCAATGATTGGTCACACAGCACGGAAATGCAATGGATTCCCTTTAAAAACAGCAGGTTTCCTAGATTCCACTTTCCTTGAGTCCATGAGTATGCAAGTAACAAGCCACTAGGGGAAAATTCTGAAATTAAAATGCAAGCCTCCAGGAAGAGAGTGGTTGTTTTCAATGCACTTTTCAAGAACACAACCACTTCAACTTTAAAAACCCACCCATTTCATTCATAGCAGGAGCATAAAGGACCAGGGTGAAAATAATAATAATAATGAACAACTATATACCAGAGCCATTTTATGGGAGTGGAGTGGGAAATGGGATCAAAAATGGGGGGGAGTGGGCAATGCATGGGACTATGGTGATGGCACACAGGTGATTATAACTGAGATGAGAAAAGGCACAAAATGATGTAAAAATAAACTAGTATATTAAAAATAAAAAATAAAAAAAGCCCACCCAGCAGCCCTCTGCCTATATCTATGCAGGTGCCTCTCCTTTGCTTTCTCTTTGTTCTAATAAATCTGCCCTTGTAAAATGTAAAAAGAAAAAATCCCACCCATACGATTACTTAAAAGCTTGATGAACACAGTTTACAGAGGAGGGCAGGAGGTGGGAGGCACGGAGGCGATCCTGGCTGGCGCTCTCCTCCCAGAATGTCCCAGCCGCCGTCACCCCATCACCTCACGCCCCTGTGCTCACCCTGCAGCTGCTCGATCAGTGTCCATGCCATCCGGGAGCCGCTAGCATCAAACACCACATGGCCCTTAGGGAGAGGAAGAGGTGGAGGAAAGCGAAGGGGATAAAAAGCGAGAGTGAAATGGGAACATCAGGGACTCTTTGAATCCTTATGTTTTTGATGTAATTGAGCTTCTGAATGAATTCTATTTATGGCATTTGCCTGCATATAGGACATACCCCAGATGTCTATACCCTAGATTTCAGAAACGTTATTCTTCCAAGGAGATGCATCACCCATCAGATTTGAATGGGAAAAAAAAGTCTCCAGAGAGAGCATCAGGACACCTGGCTTCTGGAGGTGTGACCTGGGCAAGTCACCAAATCCCTCGAGACATTACTTTCCCCATTTGAAAGGAATAGGCATTAACCTTTCATTCTATTTCCTCTTAAAATCCTATGATATTCATCTGCCTCATAAACATGTAGACTGAAAAGAAAGGAGAGGAGGGGGCTGAAAGAAATGAAATATACCATTTCCCATCCTAGTCCTATATGGGGTTGTCTGGTTCACAGGTCCTACTTCCCTGGTCTGAGACCAGTTATTAGAGAGGTAACTGAGAGACAGAATGCTTGTTTCCAGAAGAAGAAAGGGTCTTCCTCTCCACGGGAGAAAAGGAGAGTGTGAAGAAGGTCACTGTAACTCACGGAGACGCCCTCAAAGGACGAGGAGTTCATCGCCCTGTAGATCTGGTCAGTGATGGTCTGGTTGTTGTAATTGAAGTCTTCGAGGCGCACGCCCGAATGGCCCCCGCCTCCGGATGTCTTGTTCAGGGCCAAGGCCAAGGCCCAGATGGCATCATAAGCCAGCGGTGCCTCCTGGAAGCCCCCTGTCTCCTCGGGGTGTCTCTTGAGTCGTTTGGTCAGCTTCTCCACAAACTCCTGTGATGTCTAGGGAAGAGGAAAAGGAAGAAAAAATTAGAAGGGCTGTGGCCCTCCCTTGTGGCACAGCGGGTTAAAGCGCAACACTATGAGGCTGACCACAGCTGCCTCAGCGTCAGTTCGATCCCCACCCCAGAGCTGACCCACATGGCACAGCAGACCTCTCCTGTCTCACCCACTACTCCCCTCAGCAGTGTACTTAGTCAGTCTGCCTCTTCTGCACCCCACTCTGAGTCTGGTAAATCCTCTCACCACCCCGGCACCTCTGGCCTGTACCCCAATTCTGTATGCACAAATAAAAAAATCTTTATAAAAAAGATTGGAGTGGCTGTGTGGAGAGGAGAGGCACATCCAAACCTGATTCCAGCACTTCAACTTGGAGGGATGGTCCATGTTCGTGCTGGGCATATAAATGTGCAATATCTTTATTCCCACGTCTTAGAAAACTACTAGACGAGAGCAGGGATTAGCTGCATCCACTGGTCTTAATGAGTACAGCAGCTAGCTCAGAACTATAAATAGGGAAATTTAATGAATATTCAGCATAACAAATGACAATGGAGAAAAAGTAGAGCTAGCACAAAAGATACAGCTATTCCAATGAGAATCGCTACAGTGATGCGCTCTCATCTTCAGGCTGACTAGCGCTGACGCAGGACCTAACAGCTTTGCCACAGCTGAAAGATCTAGAAAAGGTGCAACATAACCATCTTCACTCTGCTTGTCAACCAAGATTTTTAATACATTGACTTCTTGCCAACCTTGTGTGTTTTCCATTTACTATCTCTCAGAGGGTTTTCAGAAGACTGAGGACTGTAGACATCCACTTTTGAAATCCATTATTCAATCCCTCCACAAACCCTTTCTAACCTTCAGTTTTCTTTTTTTTTTCAAGAAAGCTAAAATGTATGACAGTTCTTTTAACTTCATCATGAAATAGGTTCACGGCCCTCCTCGGTGGCGCAGCGAGTTAGGATGCAGCACTGCAAGCTAGCCGCAACCGCTCAGTGCAGGTTCGATCCCTGCCTACCTCAGAGGCGCGGCAGACCTCTCCTGTCTCACCCGCTGCTCCCCTCAGCAGTGTACTTCGTCGATCTGCCTGTTCTGCTCCCCACTCTGTCTCTGGTGAATCCTCTCACCTCCCCTGCACCTCTGGCCTACCCCAGTCCTGTATGCATAAATAAATAAGCCTTAAAAAAGAAAAAAACAGGTGCAAAGACCTTAATTTCTAGCCTGGTAATTAATAAACTCATTTGACCAAATAAAGGTAAAATGCTTCAGCTTTGGAAATGGATCCCACAGAATGGAGATGTACAAGGAGAAAATGACATTTGCCCTCTCAGAAACCATCAGGCTCAGTGACCATCTCTTGGCAAGGTACAAGTAACACACGGGCCTGCACAGCTGCTTAGGTCTGTGTATTAACATGCACACACTATAGCGACAGAATGAACAGGTGGGAAATATCTTTATTTCCCTTATCCTGCCAGTTGTTCTTTCTATTCAACTTTCTGGAGATACAGTGGGAGAGTGAAAAAATGCAAAGGATGTAGGACGTGTAGTCCAGTAGAAACAACCTGGGCTTTGAAGGCAGCCATGCCTGGGTCTAGCCAGGCCTGGGGTCTACTCCCTAGACCAAATTCCATCCCTCTCTTTATCCTCAGTGTCCAGCACTGGCCCAGCCCATCATGTGCGAACAACAAATGTCCATGGATTAGGGCAGTAAAGTACTCTATAATACTATACTGGTGGATGCATGTCATCACACATCTGTTCACATTCACAGAAAGTGTAATGACAGTGAGCCCTCAAATAAACTATGGACTATGGATGATAATGGTTTGTGTGTGTGTGTGTGTGTTCATCACTTGTGAGCGCTCTGGGGGTGGGGTGGAGATAATGGTCTTCCATGCACATTTTGGGATAGAGTCACATATACAATCATTATACCTTCCTCTTAAGGTGGCTGTGAACCTAAAATCATTATTAAAAGATTAAGTTTTTAAAAAGTAATGTCCAGTTCAACGACAGATGACTGGATTAGGAAGATGTGATATGTGTACATCGTGGACTTCTATTCGGCTATAAAAAAGATAAATTCTTGCCATTTGTGAGAACATGAATAAAACTGGAAGGGACTATGCTAAGTGAAAGAAGCCAGCAGGAGAAAGACAAATAGTGGATGATTTCACTCAAATGTGGAATGTAACACAAACAAAACAAAAGAAATAACAATCCCTAGAAATATGACCACAGAATTGAGGTTAATAGAGGAGGAGAGTGGTGATAGGATCAAAGGGGGGAAAAGAATCATATAAGAAAGGAATATGGGTGTTCTGATGGAGGGTGGGATCTGGGGGTAATGTATCTGAGGAGAAATGAACCTATTCCTCTGAATCATAGAGTACTATGAAGACCGAACAGAGTACTCATTAAGACCAGTGGATGCAGCTAATCCCTGCTCTCATCTAGCAGCTTTCTAAGACATAGGATTAAAGATACTGAATGCTCACTAAGAACATGAACCATCCATCCAAGCTGAAGTTGGTAAACCAGTATTATACCTAAATAATACTTTTCAAAGCCAATAGCCATTGGATCTATTAATAGGAATGGATTCCAACTCTAGTTAATCTATATAATCGCTAACAAACCTCACTACTTGGTCATTCAGCTTTAAAATGGAAATAATACTTTCTACCTTTAAAGATTTATTGTGAGGATGAAATAACATATATAAAATGCTAGCTTATAAAATAAGTTACATTTTCTCTTTGTAAATATCTCTCTCTTTGTAACTAATACTAAAATCTATAATTCTAGCTCAGTATTTGAAATCCTGTATCTCTAACAATTTCTAAGGCATTTATTACTCAATCTTTCTTCACCCCTCAGCATTACACAGTACATAGGGCTGAAATCTTCGATTCACCTAAGACTCTCAAATCAAACAGAATTCTTCTCAATTCTATTACTGAAATGTTCATTAATATTATCCCTTCCTACACAGAATAATGATAGTAGTGATAATATTAACATTTAAAAATAAATCTATAACAATAACAACATTTATATCACCCCTAATATATACCAGATACTTTTCTAAGGTAAGCATGTCAATTAATTTATCTCTAAATAATCCAATAGGGTAGATACTTTTATCATGGTATTTTAGAGCCAAGAAAATTGAGAAACAGAAAAGTTTAGTTTGCCTGTAGTGACATTGCTAATGTACGGAAGATTCAAACCCAGACAACCTGGCCCCAAAGTCCATAAAAGTCCATTCTCCTCCCAACTCCCCTCCACTGTCTCTGTAAACTGGAACGCCTCTCTCACCAAGAGCACTTGCTTTGCAGAAAGCAGCTGGGATCCACCTTTCTGTGCAGGCCTTCATGCTCAGGTCTGTCTCACCTTCAGATCAAACTAAACACAGCTTCAGAAAATCACCCACATGGAAAGGGAGTCATGTGTTCTGCATGACATTGTCCCCTGCCCAGACCCAAAGCTCTGTGCTGGCTCCAGGACACTCACTATATTCTTAGCCACTGGGGAAACCCCTGCACTCCCAAATCAAGATACAAAAGAAAAACTTCCTCCCTGAGTCACCAAAGATTTGGATGTAAATTTTCAAACAGAAATGTTGCCAAGCAGTTAAGAAAAATTGGACAAAAATTTCACAACCTGTAGAAGTTAGTGAAGTAACCAAATATAAAATCATGATCCTAATTTTTAATAACCCTGACTGGTTGTCTCTGTGTGACAAGATACTCAACAGTGATCTAAACTGTACATCCTGGGGTAACTTTCAGTGTTGTTCCAGGTCTGATGGAATCTCTATCTCAATCAGAACTTACATTCTTATCCCCAGGTATGCCACCCCCACCTTCTCATCTAGCCCAGCACCAAGAAGCTAAAGCCACTTCAGCATGAGTTCAATCCCCACCTGCCCCGAAGGTGACCCACATGGTGCGGCAGACCTGTCCTGACCCGCCCGCTGCTCCCCTCAGCAGTGTACTTTGTCAGTGGGCCTGTTCTGCTCCCCACTCTGTGTCTGGTGAATCCTCTCTTCCTGCACCTCTGGCCTGTACCCCATTTCTGTATGCATAAATAAATAAAATCTTTAAAAAAAAAAAAAAGAAGAAGAAGCTTTCGATACCAGGGTTTCTCGATCTGGATACTACTGACACTAGGAGCAGGAAAATTTTTGTTGCTGTGCATTGCAGGATGTTTAGAAGCACCTCTGGTCTCTATCTGCTAAACACCTGGAGAATTTATCCCTCTCCTACTCAGGGTTGTGACAGCCAAAATTGCCTCAAGACGTTGCAACCTCTCTTTGAAAACCTCAATAACTAATAGTCCTCAAAATGTGGGCTCAGACCACAGTATCACTATTCCCAAGAAGCTTCTTAGAAATATGAATTCTGAGGCCCGGCCCCATTCCTACCAAATCAAAGAACCAGTAATCTGTACTAACCTTCCAGGTGGTTCTGATGGAAGCTAAATGTGAGAACTGCTGAATAAATACAAGGGCAGCCACGCAGAATAAAGACAACTCTGCTTCTTTTCTAAATCTACATAGCCCTGGTCCCTCAGTCCAACCCCTCCCGTCAGATCCACTTTTCTCATCCTCTCTGATTCACTATAATCTCTCCCTAGTCGGTTGTGAAAGCCGCTTCTATCCTCTGGAAAACCGTGGCTTCTTCACCTGGTACATTCATCAACCAAGCAGCCTAGTGATAACTGCAGACCTTAAAGGCAGGCACCATCATTCTCTAGAGACTAAGAGTCAGAAAAGGACCCTCCAGCCCATCCCGCTTCCTATCTCTGATGACCTTTTATACCCCCACCAACCCCGCCCCTCGTCAGGGCCTCCACTAGCTCCCGGATATTGGGCAGATGCCACGTGGCGTGGCAGGTCCAGAGCTGCAGGTGCCATCAAGCCGCTCCAGCTTCAGTCAGTGCCAGCTCCTCCACCTCCCCAGGTTCTTGGGAATGTTCACCTTTCAGGTGCTCTACAGGGACGTGGCCTTCCAGAATCTTCCCACCACGTTTTTTTCTATTTTGCTTTTTTTTTTTAAGATTTATTTATTTGTGCATACAGTACTGGGCTACAGGCCAGAGTGCAGGGGCGGTGAGAGGATTCACCAGAGACAGAGTGGGGAGCAGAACAGCTGACTGAAGAAGTACACTGCTGTGGGAGCAGCGGGCAGGTCAAGAGAGGTCTGCCGCACCAAATGGGCCCCTCCCTGGCTGGGGATCGAACTTGTGCTGAAATGACTTCAGCTAGCTTCCTAGTGCTGCACTCCAATCTGTTGTGCCACCAGGGAGGGACCAGGAGGGACCCCCACACACCACATTTTTCAACCAAGATACCTTAAACAGAGTCCCTTAACATGTCCCAGAACAGAGTAAAAGCTCAGAATCCACATGACAACACATATTTCCATCACAACCTACTAAATCTTCTCTCCTTTGCTCAAAAGCTGCCACTGGCTAGCAACATAGTTAGCCAATAGATGGACAAACTTTTTAGGCAGACTTTACGGTTTCCCATGAAAGGTGTTGAAGAGGAATCGTTCCCAGCTAGAGTCAGCTAGGATTCAAGTCCAGCTTGAATGCAAGACCTGGGTGAATTTCCTGGTCTATAAAGTGAAAATGACAAATGTACTTCAGAGCAATGCTATGAAGATCGCAGACAGCATCAACCTAGCTTCTGGGTTTGGTTTTGTTTTATTTTTTAATAGTTTTTTTTTTTTTAAGATTTATTTATTTATGAATACAGAACTGGGGTACAAGCTGGTGGTAAGAGGCTTCACCAGAAACAAAGTGGGGAGCAAAACAGGCAGATCAACGAAGTACACTGCTGAGGGGAGCAGCAGGCAGGTAAGGAAGGGTCTGCCGTGCCATATGGATCACCTCTGGGGCAGGGATCGAACTTGCACTGAAGTGGCTGTGGCTCACTCGCGTGCTGTGTCCTAACCCGCTGCACCACCAGGGAGGGCCAGCTTCTGTTTTATGACATAAAAGCAAGTTGTCTATCTTTTTAAAATAAGATAAACAGGGATTGTACAGCCATTAAATCGCCCCCAGCATGCTCTCCAAAGCAAGCATTTGAGGCCTGGGGCTATCCTGAGCATAATAAGCAGATTCATAGGCTGCCTTATAGCAAGTTCACCCAAGATTCTCCCACTTCTCGAAAGGTACTGCTGAGCAAGAAAAAGGGCCTCGCCTCAAGCCCCCTACTCATTCACATCCCTTACCCACAGGGCAACTTTAGTCTCCCCAAATCAGAGAATGTGCCTTCCATCTCAAGTCTGTCACTAATTAACTCTCCAGGGCTGACCAACATCAAAAGTATGCTTTACATCTAAAAGCCTAAAGATAATCACCTTAAAAATCATCAGGAGGACCTCCCTGGTGGCGCAGTGGGTTAAAGCGCAGCACTGCAAGCAAGCCAAAGCCGCTTCAGCGAGAGTTCCATCCCTGGCCCCAGAGGTGACCACATGGCACAACAGACCTCTCCTGTCCCGCCCACTACTCCCCTCAGCAGGGTACTTGGTCAATCTGCCTGTTCTGCTCCCCACTCTGTCTCTAGTGAATCCTCTCACCGCCCCTGCATCTCTAGCCTGTACCCCAGTTCTGTATGTATAAATAAATAAATCTTTACCAAAAAAAAAAAATCATCAGGAGACAAGCTAATTGAGTATCACTCAGGAGAGGATATTAAGCAACTCTAAAGTCGCTCTGAAGTCACCAAGAAAACAAATTGCATCTCTGCCCACGAACAGCGTTTCTGTAAAGGTGTGCTTGTGCACGCAGCATCTGTCTGATCATTAAAGCCTCTCCCTCATTTGACTTCTTGCCAGCTGCTCCATGTTCCCATGGCAACAGCCTTTCCACTCATCAGGAATTGACTAAAGATACCACTTTCATTTCTTTTTCTTTCCTGCCCAAGGAAGTCACAGCAGAGCTGGAATTCACGGGAAACACAAGGCGCAAACAAGCGCAAGGTGGGCGGAGGCTCCGTCTCTGCCTGAACCCCACACCTGTGAGGCCCCCTTCCTCCTCTCCCCCTGCCCAAGATGCCAGCCTCCTCGTGCCCACACTCACCATGTTGGAGATGCTGCGTGTGTTGGCAGGGTTCAGCATGACAATCTCAGTGGTGATGTGGCCCTCTACCGCCTCGGTCATCTCGTCCACCGTGCAGTTGATGGACGGATCATAGATCTTGAACCAGTTGTCAGCATACCACCCAATGAGGAACCAGACGTACTTCTTCCCGAAGAGACGCTCCTTGTACACCTGTGGGCAGGGGAGGAGGACAGCTGGGTCTCTGTCTTCGGTTCTATCTCATGTGACACAATCCAGCCTCATGGGAATCAGAAAAGAGCAGAGAAGTAACAAAAAGTTCTACAAACCCGGCCCTCCCAGGTGGCACAGCAGGTTAAAGCACAGCACTGTGAAGCTAAAGCCACTTCAACATGAGCTTGATCCCCACCCCGGAGGTGACCCACATGACCTGGCAGACCTCTCCTGACCCGCCCGCTGCTCCCTTCAGCAGTGTACTTAGTTGGTCGTCCTGTTCTGCTCCCCACTCTGTCTCTGGTGAATCCTCTCACTGCCCCATAACTCTGGCCTGTACCCAGTTCTGAATGCATGAATAAATAAATCTTTAAAAAAAAAAAAGTGCTACAAATCTTAGGGGTAATAGGAGAGGCCCCACAACTCCCCTTCTAAATGCTTCCCTTTCTAGGTGTCTATTTCTGAACGGTCCTTTCCGGTCAGTCAAGAAAGATGGAATACATGGGGGCCCCTCGGGAAACATAAAATTGGCAGGAAAATAGAGCTGGATAAAGTGTCGTGTGTATGAGCAGCCAAGAGATGGAGTGCGAGCGGGCAGTCAGGGACATCACCCCGATCATCCCCCAGCTCTCTCGCTCCTGCTTGGGCAGGGACCTCAGAGGAGCTCCCGGGAGACTCCCAAGGCAAAGAGCCCACCCAGCCCCCTTCCCACTTCAGATTCCAACTCCACCTCACAAAAAACTTTTCGGGCTTCCGTCTCATAGAAAAGTCCCACGATGATTCGTGCGTCCTGGCGCTACAGAATGGAGAGAGAAACAGGTCCTGAGGGACACCTGCAAACGCCGGAGGAGCTACACAAAGCACTTTCAAGCCTTTGATTTCCTGTCCCAAAGTGCTTAGTGCAGGGTTCTGTTGGCTGGGTTGTGGATAAATGGCAACTGGAAAAGGAAGCTAAACTTCCCCAGGAGATGCCACTGCCTCACGGGCTCAGTGTTATGTGACATGGCAGAGGTGTTAGCTAGTGCTGCGGTGCCACCACAATAATATGTAAGTGTATCACATCAACACATACGACTAGACTTGCACCATGTTCGATGTCAACTACAGTTCAGTACAAACAAAAAGCAAAGCAGTCTGCCCCCGACCCCCCACCAGGCCCGCTCTCCACCCCACCGCTGCCCCAGCCCGGCCCCGCTATAGGCTGAGCCCATGACTCCCGGTCATCCCACCTTCAGGTTTTTGACAGGCACAGCTGGATCTGAGAAGAAACTTTGGCGGAAGGTAATCTCAATCCCCGCCTCCTTCACTCGCTCCTCTAGGTCATCCAGCGTCTTGAGTAGGGGTGAGAAATAGAAAACAACATGGGGCAAAGACAGAGCTGTTACCTGTTGATTGCATACTGAGAGCAAATGAACAGCAATTCTGCACCTCCCTTCACCGCTTCTGAGCCCTGGGAGGGGAGAGCTCAGAGGAAAGCATCTGGACTCTCAGGACGTGCTTCTGAGTGGGAAGTGTGTGGTGAGTCCCTCTTCAGGATCTGTGTCAAGGGAAGTCACCTCATTCACCCCACTCCTTCCAGACAGCAGAAGTGGGGGAAAGGAAAACAGAGGAGCCAGGAGGAGCGGAGGCAGGGTTGGAAAAGACACGATGCTGGTAACCTCAAGAGGCCAGTGAGAGACCAAAGGGCCAGAGGAGGAGGCCTGAAGCACACAGGCGGGGCCAGGGGGAGGACGGAGAGCAGCGCACACTGCAGAGAAGCTCCAAAGATCGGGATGAGAGCGCAGTGCTCCTCAGGCGAAGCGCTATGTCCTCCCTGCCCCTCACCGGCCCCTCTCCCCTTCTGGCCCCCCTCCCCCTTCCACTTCGCATTGGTCGCATTTCTCTCTGAGTCAACCATCATTCCATCCGTGTGCATGTGTCTGTCTCCCTCCCAGCCTTCGTCTCCTCCTCCTCTCTTTTCTCCCTCCCTCCCCCTCCTCTCCCTGTCTCTCCCTCTCTCCTGCCACCTCCCTCCCTCTCTGTCCCCTCTCTCCTGCCACCTCCCTCCCTCTGTCCCGGTGTCCAGTTCTATTGCTCCAGTTCTATTGCTCCATCCCTCTGCTCCCATTCCCGCGCATAAACCCCAGCCCACACATACACCCCAACCAGAGTGCCTCTGGGGCCTGCTACCTTGCTGCTTCCCCACCCATATCCTCTCCCTCATCTCTCCAAACTTCACTCCAAGTTTGGAAAGAACCCACTTTAACATGTCTGGGTCATTAGGGGCATATCTGTCTGGGTAACAGAACAACAAAGAAAGAAAAAAAATTCTAAAACCAGAAAGTTGGAGAGAATTCTGAGAAGTCCACTCATTCATTCCTCCGACTACAGAAAGACCATGCACTTACGCCACTCTGAGTAGGTTCTCTTTCGATAAAGATCAAGATCTTTCCCTCAAAATGACTGGGTCACCCCTCTCTACACCAGGATTTGGGGTTGTCCCCCTTACCGAAGTGAAGACCTCCGTGGTCTGCTGGATGGTGGCAATCTTCTTCCAGCCCCACTTTTCGAAGAGTTTCACGCGGGTAGGATTGTGCAGGGTGGCTGATGGATGAGTTCGAAAGAATGTAGGAAAACGTTGCCGGTTTGACAGAGCAGGTGAGCTGGAGCCATAGGAAAGCTGAAAGGGGGCAGGGACAGGGCACAGTGAATGTTCAGCACAGACAAAGCTGCTGGGAGCTCCTGAGACCCTTCCCCGCTCTGGGTTTCAGTCTCCTGCTCTCTCCCAGCCCTACTTCTGCTGTAGGAAAGGAAAAGAGGTTCTCAAGGCCCACAAAGGCCCTCACAATAGGAGGGCTCTGCTCTGCCGCAGATCTAGCTCCAGCTCCTGTGAAGGTTGGCTGCACGCTCAGGCCACTGTTGCTAGGAGGCCCAGCTTTGCAAAGGCCCCGGCATCCTGGCAGCCAGAACTCTGCAACCCCACACCCAAGCCCGCAATACACCCCCTCTTGAGTACAGCCCCACCTTCTCTGGTCCAGCCCTTAGTACAGACCCCCCCCCACGGGATGCTCACCACAATGAGGTTCCACATTCTGGCAGCCTCGGCCACGAGCGTGGAGACAGAGCTGCAGCCGGGCATGAGGATGATCTTGATAGGGTCATTGTAGAGCAGCTCGTACAGGTACTTGGTGGCCTGGCCAGGGTCACACTGAATGGGGGACAGGGGTGAGAGTAGGGGCTCCCAACCTCCCCTTCCTGCAACTGTGACTCTTCTTTTCCTCCAATGACCCACCTCTCTACTGAAACCCTTTTGTCATGATTTCCTGTCTTCCTCTTCCTGACATTTCTTCTTGCTAAGTCTCTGTGTCTCCTGGTCCCTTAAACACCCTCTGTGCCTTCCACCTGGAGACTTACCCACGCACTCTCCTGCACACCCCTCCCTCAGGACGAATGCACACACAGCAGCCTTCCACCTCTCAGTTCGTCCTCAGACATCCCCTAGCCCACCCCAACTCTTATCCCAGGTTTCTATGCTCCAAACATCTGCGGGTAGAAAAACAGCAGGAATAAGAATAAACTCTACCCAAGACCCAGACAGCCTCCCCTAAGATATGAAAATTCCCCTCTCGCCTCTGCAAGCCTCTCCACACCTTCCAATTCTTTCTCCCTCTTCTCTTTTTAGGCTAGTGACAAATAAACAAGAGGGAACAGAAACAAGAGCACTGGGGGTCGGCTGGCACTGCTGAGCACCTGCTGGGTCCTGATATCCGATGGGGCCACCAGGAAAAAAAAAAGACTCAGGCGTGTGTGGATGGGGAGAAACAAGATGCAGGAAGAAATAAGGAGAATAAACAGAATGGGGTTCTCAAGAAGCCAAAAGCTTTTAGGGGTGCCTGAAGGGAGGCACAGAGTCCTGGAAAGTAAACAACACAAAAAGCTACAGGGAAAAGGGATGAAGGGAGGAGGGGAAGGTTGGGAGGAAGAGCCAGTCGGGTCTCCCACTGCCTGTTCCCCTCCTGCTGAAATATGACATTTCAGAAGCTGCTGGAGCCTAAAGGAAGTAGAGAAGAAATGGGAGCCAGCGGGGAGCCAGGGCAGAGGGGACACAGACCGGAGCAGAGGTAGACTGAACAGGGTGAAATGGGGAGGGCAAGTAGCCAACAAATAAAGAAGCCTCCCCTGGAGCCTGCTCGCTTCCCACTGAGGCCTGACATTTGGGACACTGTGGGAAGTTGGAGAAGGGGGAGCCAGGAGGCTGCCTGCATCTGATGAACATTCACCCAGAACTCTCTGGTGCCCGCCCACCCCACCCCCTGCTCCGGGCAGCACTGAAAGTCTGTTCAGTAGTGTGTTTTGAAGGTTCTTCATGCTTCCACTTGGGCATCTCTGTTCATCTGTACCATTCTCAATTCCCACCTCCCTGCCCCCGCCCAGTTTCTCTTACTCCAAGTCTACCCCCAGCTGCTCCCAAGCCTCCTCAGTGACCCTTTTCTTGTCTGAAGAAAAGCTTGATAGGCGTCATGAGACTATACAAGACATATACATCTGGGACAAGGTGTACTCCCCAAAATCTCTTTGGTTTCCTCACCCCCCTGACCCTTCCTTCATCCCAGCCCCCCTTCCACACCCTAGTCTTCTCTAGATTTCCTCCCCATGGGATTCTCACCCCCTCCCCAACAGGCTTGCTCCTTTCTCCTCCCTCTCCTCGCTCTGAAAGGACCTGAATTTGCAGGCAGGAAACAACACATTCCAGTTGACACATTCCAATTTGTCTGCCTTTCCACCTCCCCCTGGCTGCCTTTGCTATTTTCTCTCCTCTCTTCTCTCAGGTCCCCCCATCTGCTCCACAACACCTCTAGGGAATCACCTGTCATGGTGGATAATTTTGAGCTCACACACAGGGCCCTGCTGGCTCCCTCTGATCCCAGTCAGAATGCCCGCACCCATCCCTCCCATTGCTCTCCAGTCCACACGCCATAACCTTTATCCTCTCGCTCTCCTGAGCTCGGAGAGCTCAGAGCTCGACCACTCCATCAGCTCTGACCCTCTATTTCTTCCTCCCCCCCCCCACCCGAGTTCCTAATTCTTTCCCTGCACCCAGCTGCTCTCCCAGTGGGTATCAGCTACACCCACACCCACCAGGTCAGGATTTGTATTGGTAAAACTCCAGATCTGTGGGACTCATCCCTGACCAAGGAGTTAGAGTCTGTCTTAAACTCTTCTGGTTATTCCTGTATGCACTAACTTTAAGAATTTCTGTAGACGTGTCAGAAGGGACTTGAAGTTCTGTCCCCAAGTTCCTAGTAGTCCTCTGTTCTGTTCTCCCCAAGTACTTCCTTCAATCCAACCTCAGCCCCCCACTCCCTCACATTCCTAGTTGTCCATAGTCATTCTAAAGAATAAACACAAATCTTCGCTCCACTCCAGGTATAAGTCCTGCACCAAGTCCTCACCTCTACTCTCTTTCATTATCCCCCAATCCCTTAAGTCTCTAGGGCTGCTTGTCAGAGAAGATAAATTTGAGGTCCCAAGTATCCTTCCTTCCCTGTCCCACATCTTTTCTGTGTTCTCAATTATTCAAGTGGGGGAAAGTATCTACCACCCCAGGCCCAACTCTTCTTACCTCCTCCTTCCCCCTCTCCCCTACCCCCTTAACCCTACTCCCATTTCCCCTCCCTCATGTTAGAGGCCATGATGTTATGAGACCCAAGTTCCACATGATACCCAAAGATCTCTCACCATGCACACAAATCTGGGGTCTCCTTCCCACTGAGATGCTTTCCTGTTTCCTTTCTCATCCTTTTTTCCTGACTCCTCTCCATTTTCCTGCTCTTGTGGGGGAGGGGAAGGGAATGCTCCAGAGTGAACCTCTAATCCAGTTCATTTTCCCAGTGCCTCTGCCCATCTCCTGGCCATCAACCCTCTGACCACAATATGACATGCAACATGCATTCCCACAGTCCAGGCACGCTCAACAGGGGTGGGTATGGAGGAATGAAGAGACAGGTAGGACTCAGTTACCTTGTTGTTTGTTGTGATAAACTAGATCACTTAAGTCCCTCAAAATTTCCTTCATTCCGTCCCTATTCCTTCCAGCTTCAACCTGGTGCCAAGATTTACCTCCTTACACAGTAACTGCTTAAGCCCCTGATCCAGTATCCACCTCTGCTATTCCCTCCATCCCCCAACTCTTCCAGGGTTAGTTTACTCCCTGGAGGATCAGCCTGTACCCTAAATCCATCACCAGTGTCCCAACCCCCACCCTATCTCCACTTCCAAGGGTCTCAGGAGCAGCAGGGTCTGCCTTAAAGGCAGATTAACCATCTTGAGCCCCAGAGACCCCTCATCTTGAACCCCAGAGACACCTCATCTTGAACCCCGGAGACCCCTCATCTTGAACCTCCAGCCCCTGTAAAGCTCCCTAAGCTCCAACACCCCCAGTGCAACCCCTGCTAGTCACACATGGGAGAGGTCCAACTCACAATCTAAGAAGCAACTCTAAGGTGCATGCAACTGGCCCCTGCCCCCCAAGTCCCCACCTCCCACCCATTCCCAAGTCCCGGGCTACCTTGCTGTCGTGGTGGATGAGCTTGAGCTCATAGTCCGGCAGGATGTCCCTGCGGCTATTCACGTCCTCCAGCGCCATCTCCACCGCGGGCTGGCAGGCCTGGCCCCCGGGCCAGCCCCCGCTCATGGGAAACAGCGCCCCGATGTACACTGCGCGCCGTTCTGAGGAGGGGTGCGGGGGGACCCTCGGGTGAGGCCGCGGGAGATGAGGGGAGTGGGAGGCCCACACCGAAGCCACCCCCGCCGCCATCACCACCAGGAGCGGCAGTGGCCACCCCACTGGGGACGAGGGGGCCGCCGGACCCATGGCAGGGGGCGGGGGTAGCTGCTGGGGTAGGAGGAGGAGCTCAGGGGGGACACTTTTCCTGGGGAGGGCTGCTGAGGGGGTGTCGGGGAGACGCCTCCATCCCCGGTTTTGTGGGGAGGAGGAGGCTAGGGCCCTGGGGAAGCAGGGAAGGTTGGCTTCCTAGGCCCCACGGCTCCAGCTCCCGCCACCGCCACCGCGGACTCTCCTCGCGGACTGACCGACCGACCGAGGGGAGGAGGAGGAAGGAGATGGAGGGCTGGGAGGGGGCTCTGACGTCACGGACGGAGCGGGAGGGGGCGGGCGGGAGCTGGGGAGGGAGAAGGGGGCGGGGATGGAGGCGAGCGGCGCTGTGGGAACCAGAGGGGAGAGGAGGCGAGGGGCGCAGGGAGGGGAGTCGAGCCGAGGGTGGGGCGTGGGGGGGAGAGGGAAGCACCGCGAGGCGAGCGGTCCCCGTCCGAGGAGAGTAAGGCAGGGGAGGGGGAGGGGGCGTGCCAGGAGGGCGGGGTGGGCGGGGTCAGCCTGGGAGGCCGCAGCCCTGAGCCGCGGGGAACAGAGGGGATGGCGGAGGGGGGACGCGGGAGCAGCGCGGCTGGCGCAGGAGTGTCTGAAATGGGGAGGTGAATCGATAGAGTGGAGGGCTGAGAGTTGCGAGGCGAGAGAGAAGGCGCAATTCTGAAGACAGAAAGTTGGGTGAGAAAAGGGGGGGAGCTTGCTCTCAAGGGGAGTGATGGAGACAGAGGAAAAGAGCGTAGGGCTCGGTAGGCAAAAGCCTGAGAAGGGGTGTCAGGAGAAGGAACTGCGATTTTAAAAAGAAGGGAGAGCTACCGGAAAGGAAAGACAGCAGCAGGGAGGGGCTGTGGCGAGCGGGCGAGCGCTGTCCAGGGTAGAGGTGAGTGGGCTGGGCTGAGGCAACGGTCGGGAGAAATCCCGGGAAGGCGGCAGGCTGGGAGAGGAACCCCACAGGGGAAGCTCGGGGTCTCCCAGCACCCTGCCGCCCCCTGCTGGGGCGCTGCCATTTGACAGAAGTAGAGTCTGGGAGGAGGCGGAGCCGAGGCAAGTGCAGCCAAGCAGGGAGATGGGAGGGACCGCAGCCTCGCAGAACATCGGGACTGGAGACAGAAACAGGTAGGTCGGCCGCAAACAGGGGTGGGGGAGGAAGGTGGGTGAAGGGCGAGATCCCACAGCCCAGGGCCACAACCCCTGGGGTGGAGGATGAAGAGTGAGGGGTAAGGAAGGGGATTGCAGCGCGCGGTTAGGGTTTCTGGTCTCACCTGAGTGTGGCGTTCGGTTCACTGGCAGCAGGAAAGACGGGGATCAGAGAAGAGTTACCACTGGCGCCCAGCTTCCCTGGCCTGATCCCCAGCCCCCTCCCACACCTGTTCATGCCGAAGAACGGGGGACGGCAGAAGCCTGCGTTTCTGGGGGGAGGGTGCCTGGGGATAAGAGCAAGGTGGGACTGTGGGTCAGGATCTGTAGGTTTTCTTCTCTTATTTTACATAGGACAACAGAATTTGAGACAGGAATGCCAACAGCTAAGATAGGGACAGATCGTGGCTTTAGGAGATCTAAATATAAATTTTGAAGGCCTCCCTTTAAGGAAAAAAAATGGTTTATAAACTACTACTGTTAAAATAGCTTACTTTGGCATTGTTTTTCAAAAACCTATGAGCATATAAACGCATGATCAGAATGTTACATTTAGAGCACAGGAAGAGGCCTGTGTAAGCAAAGAGCGCTGATGCTTAAATTTCTTAGCTTCACTGTAAACCCACCCCTGGATGATCCGGGACTCCCAACTTCTAGAATGAAATGGTACATGAGGAAAGACAGATCTGCGGATCTTGAAAGAGTCTACAAGGATATAGGCGCAGGAAGTGTGCCTACATTCCAGGAGCACAGCGAGAATGTGGGTGTCCAGGAAAGGGAGAGGTATGCAGCCCTGCAGGTGGCAGAATAGGTGTGGACACAAGATTGATTCCCTGGGGAAGGCTGGAGGCTGTCTGGAAGGATCTAAACGGACTGTCCTCCCCCAGCCCCACCCTTGGTTATTCTTCCTGCTGCCATAGTTCTGCCTCCAGCTTTAAGTCTTCTTACACTGATACTCCCGCCCCATGTTCTTTCCAATTGCATCAATTTTTCTAAATAGGGTGTATTTTTCTAAATAGGATTTATTTCTTATTCTTTATGATAATTCAGTTATATGATGAATAGGGAGGAGTCCATTCTAGAAGAGGATGGTGCATAGAAAGCTCTGAGAAAGTAACTGAGGCTATGGGAAAATGGAAGGTGTAAGCCTTTGGAAGGTATAAGGGGGCTGGGATTCATAAAGAAAAAGAAAAAGAAAAAATGTGAGAATCAAGAATTGGGAGCAGGGAGAAAATACAAAAACAGAAAGGTATAGGAAGGAAGCTCCCCATGTACATAAAGGGGGGACTGGGGACTGCTGGTAGAAGTTTGAGGTAGATCAAAGGAGGAAAGAGTTGGGGTCTCACCTTCACCTCCCCAAAGCCCACATTTTGTATAACACCCTGTTCTTTCCCACCTTCCAACCCCACCCCGCTCCCTTCCTCTCACAAGAGTCCTCAGCAGCTGCATGCAGGCAGCTGTGCCCCTCACCCTGGCAGTGGGGCTTGGGGGTGCTCCACTGGCCCTGACTACAGATGCTCCGGGAGCTGCCCACCAGGTGGAAGTCGGAGTCGCAGCGGAAATCCACCCGGGCTCCGTCCAGAGCGGGGAGGTCCCCGCCCGTCAGGAAAACCTTTCCATTTTCCAGGGTCAAGTAAGACTTGGAGCAGATTCGGACTGTGGAGAGACGGGAAAATGAAATGAGAGGTGAGTTGGAAAAGGCTCCTTCTCCTAAGGGAGCAGGGGGCTCAGATTCGGGTTTGGGTCCACATATATTTTACAGAAAACCAGATGTAAAAGGACTTCTCTCTCACCGGCTTCCATTCCTCCCTTAACTCTGTAAACATCTGCAAATTCCCAAATGAAAAAAGGGAAAAGCATTTCCAGTGTAGGAACCCAAGATGGAGCTATAAGCACATAAAATGGGATCTCTTCGAAGTCTGCCTCAGCGGGTGGTTCTCCGGTGAGACAAGTGGATGCATGGAACTTGAAATGCACAGTCAAATTTGCCTTTCTTATTATAATTGACTTAGATTAACATTAAATTAGGGTTGTTGTTTTTTTTCTTGAGTGAATGGTCTCTGGGTTGGAAACATGTATTTGAATAGATGATGAAATCATTTGGGAATGTTTTTTGCAAATCTGCACCAGCGATCTTCCAAGAGAATAACTCATGAGATGAATAATCAAGTTATTTTACCAAAGAGTTAGTGGCCTAATGAAGGTAAGATGAGATGCAATGTACAGGCTGCTTACTTCAGTGAGTGCCATTGCACACATCCGCCCCTCTTATATAGTAGTCATTCTACAAATGTAGTTGTGATTTTAGTGACACTAGATTTAAAGTGAGGACTTGCAAGCAATAATGCCAAGTCTGAAGTGGAAGAGGAATAACATTAAAGAGGGGGGGGGATTTCTGAGGCTACTCACCACAACGGCTGGGTGTGTCCATGTCTGTCCAGGAACCATTGGCCAGGCACTTTCGGACCTTGGGGCCCACCACTTCGCGCTCCCCCCGGCACACATACTCAATCTCATAGTCCACTGGCAGAAAGTTGATGGCCTTCACCTGGTCTCGGGTCAGGCCCCGGTACCTGATGCCCCCTTCCCAGGGGGGGTGTATGATCTGGCAACCTGAGGGGGAAGTCCCCAGAGGCAGAAAGAGAACAATGGTGGGGAAAGGAAAAGGCAGAGTCAGCAGCAGAGGAGGGGAGTGAGGGGTGGGCAGTGGGCAGGTGGGGGACAGAGGGAAGGGAATGGGCTGCTAAAGGATCAGGTGAGGATAGGGACAGACCCCAGGGTTGGGGGGGGTGGGAGGGGAGGGGAGTAGTAGTAATGAGCCAGGGTTCAGACTAATACTGAGACACTATGGAAGTGCTGGGTGGATGTAATGCAGAAAAGTAATCAAGAAATCGTGAAAGGGAATGACATGTGAATAAGGTTGGTAGCAAAGGCTAAAGGGAGATGTTTGAGGTTTGAGTTGAATCAGAATGGGGGGCTGGGAGAGAGGGGCTTATAAGGTCACCTGGACTGCAATGTGTGAGCAAGACAGTGGAGGAACTGAGGTAGTGATGTGAGACCAGGAAAGAAGGGCGAGGTGGAGAAAATAATGCGGGGCCTACTATAGTAATGTGGGGCAGAGAAAAGGGGGTGCTGGTTTATAATGTGGGGTAACAGAAAGGAGGTCAGGAGTAGTAAAGTGGGGCTGAGCAGGCAGGTATGCTCTGCAGGGCTGAGTGGGGTAATATGAAGACCAGAATAGAGGGGGTGCAAAGAAAGGGAGAATGGGGTGAAGGGGTGCCCGAGGTCGCCGGAGGAGGGTGCACCTTCTGAGGTAGCGTTGGGGGTCTGCGCCCCGCCTGCCCCGGGGGGGCGGAGGAAGAGTGGCGCCAGCGACAGCAGCAGCAGCAGCATCTGAGTGAGAGGCGGCGGTGAGGACCGGCCGAGGCCCGGCGCGCGAGCCG